GGATAGGGCAGGCGACGGCGATGGCAGTGGCGCTCGAGGGGGGCAGTGGCACGCCTGCCCAGAAGGTCGGCTCCCGCTAGCGTTGCCCACGAGCAGGCGGCGGGAGCGGGAGCGGGGTGAGCTGGGCACCGGCGTTCTCCGGGCCGTTCTGGGCACCGGTGCGGGGCAGCAGGGTCTCCTCGGGGTCCCGCCCCTGGAGAAGCAGGGGGCCGAGCTCCCAGGGCCTGCAGAGCTGAGCCTTTGCTGGGAGGGGACGCGCTGTTCCCAGCCCTGCAGCGGTGCAGAGCTTGTGGGGCATCGCTGGCGGGGGCATAGCTCCCCGCAGCCCAGGGGTCCTTGCCCCCGCAGGGGCTCTGCTGCTGCAGTCGGGTTCGTGGCGGTGGTGAAGCGGGCAGCCCTGCCCATTGCGTGCCCCGGCTGTTTGTGGGAGCAGTGCCGCCTGGCCTCAGAGCTGGGGGTGGGGAGGCAGAGGAGAGCCAGGAGCCAAGAAGTCCCCTGCCAGCAGCCGGGGGTCAGGACAAGATGGTTTCGGTGGGTCAGGGAGCTTCGAATGCCTGGCGGGGCCTCTGGGAGCTGGGTCCCAGGGGGCTCCCAACAGCCTGCCCTTGCTGGAGGTGGGGTCTCCTGGCACGTGCCTCACTCATGCTTATGCCTGTGGGGTAGGCACCTCCTCGGGTCAGCCGGTACCATGGTCAGGAGCCTCTGACCTGCCTCCTGGCTCCAGCACCCGCTTCCTCAACGGGAGGGGGGATTTTTGCATCTGCCGTGGGGGTCCTGTGGGCACCACGGAGCCCATCGCTGCAGCCCCATCCGCACATGCACTGGGCTGGTGGATCGTTATGCTTCTGACCCCCCCCAAGGGCACGCACAGGCAGCGCCTTTGTGTGCACCAACAATAAAGCAAATGTTGGCCGGCGAGAAGGTCGGCGGCACCGGGGTGGTGCCTAGCCCGGCATGCGCGGGTGCGAGGGGCTGCGCTGGAGCGGAGCTCCCCGAGCCGCTCCGGGTCCAGCCTCTGCACCTGCTCCCCAGGAGTCTCGGCCTCCCCTCCTCCAGCCCCATGCTGGGCTCGGAGGTGGGGGTCGAGGTGGCAGGTCCCCGGTCACAGGGAGGGAAGAGGGCAGAGCGCCGCATACCGAGTCGCTGCCCAGGCCGGGCTTCTGTGCGAGCTTTGCAGCTCCGGGGAGCTGAGCCGGGATCGGGCGGCGGAGCCTGGAGGTTCAGGGCTCCTGCGCTTCCGCGGGGCTCAGGGCTGCTCCGGGAGCGTGGCTCTTGCTGGGGGCTGCTGCGGCTGCAGGGCTTGTGGGGACCCGCCTGCTTCTGGGGAGCACCGGGTCTGTCCTGCTGGAGCCCTGTCCCCGGTCTCCTGGAGCAGGCAGAAGGAGCAGGCCTAGCTTGCAGTGACTGCAAGTCATCATGTGCCGCTCTCCACTGGGCACTGGGGAGGCCTCCGTGCAGACAGACGCCCACCACCGAGGCCCCAGGCGGTGGTGCCGAGACAGGGCAGCCAGAGGATCCTGTGCTCCCATCTGGGGGGTGAGCAGAGAGATGCACTGAGCTGAAAGCCTGGCCCCCCTCATCCCCTGTGCTGGCAGTGGCTGGCCACCCATTGTACCCCCCCCGGAAACAGGAGAGGGCCAGTGCCCTTGGGGGCCCTCCCTGGAGACCCTGGCTGTGCCTGCTCCCTGCCCGGGCGGCTCCCCGAGCTGCGGGCTCTTTCCCAGCGCCTTGTGGGAGCGGCTGCTCTGGCCCTAGAGGGGTGTAGCTTGGGTGGGTGGGAGATGCTGGGCCCGGGCCGGAAGGGTGCAGGGTTCCCTGGGGTCATTTCAGAGTCCCGCTGTGCTTCCCTTTCCAGCTGAGCCCCCACCCCCGGGGCAGCCCAGCGCCGGGGCTCACAGCTTCTCCCCTGGCCCTGGTGGCTGGATGCCTCCCCCCGCCCATTCCTGCCCCTCCAGGCTCAGGGGGTTGTTCATGGGAGCCTGGTCGGGGCAGGCAGACCAAGCCAGACCAGCGTGTCCCTCCCTGCGCCTCCAAGCCAGGGCCCCGCTCCAGCTCTGCCGAGGCGCCGTAGCTGCACGCTTCTCCCTCCCAGCTGGTGTTGCTGCTGTTCCCCTCCTCGCGCCGGACCGCTGCTGCCTTCTGCCCCGCCACCCCCAGCCCCAAAAGCGTCTGGGGCCGTGCCTCCCAGGGGGTGAGCGCCCCCGAGCGCGTGGCGTGCTGGGGCTGTGGGACTGACTCGGCATTGAGGCGAGGACGGGTCACGGTGCCGCGCATGCAGGGCTGGCCCCAAGGCGCCTGCCAGGATGTGGGGTCAGCGAGCAGGGCCCAGCGGCACGGTTGAGTGTGGGGGCAGATCCCTGTGCTTCGGCAGCACTGGGAGGGTCGCCGGCAGGGGAGAGCTGGATGTGGTAGCGCCGTCGCCCCTGCCACCTTGCAGTGCCCTGCTTTGGGCCTGGTACCCTTTGTGGTCGCCGGGCCGTGCGACGGGGGTCGCAGCCAGCTGAGCTCAGAAGTCACGGCAGAGCCTGGTCATAGCTTCTGGCTTCCCGGGGGCACCAGGCTGCAGCACGCGGGTGCAGGCCCGGGACGGGCTCCACGCTCGATGCCACGTGTTTCGCTGCTCCTCTGCCCCCTTGGACTTCGCTGCTGTGGGTCTCGGGGGAGCCGGCAGGGCCCTCGTCTCCCCCAGGTTGGTTACTCAGCGCTGCCTGGGAGACCAGTTGCTATTTCCTGGCTTGTGGGAAGGGCTCGGTGGAGCCGAGTGGGAGGGTGCGGGCTCTGGGGACGCCAGGCCCTGGCAGCTGCTGCTGCTTCCCTCTTCATAACAGCCGTGCCAGGGCAGAGCGCCCCAGGCTCCGAGCCGGCACCCTGGTGCCTGGCATTGCTCACTCCCCCCGGCCGGCAGGAATGGGGCGGTGCACGGCTCGGGGAAGCAGGGCCACGCCAGGCCTCATGCGCTGCACGGCAGGCCCCAGCTCTTGTCCTGGGAGGCTGGCGAACCTGCTGCCCTGGGCCAGGGGCCGGCTGGCCGGCCGGCCGGCCTGCCTGCTGCGGGGCTGTTTACCGGGTCTAGGGTTACAGGGGCAGCTGCAGACAAGCTCGGGCTGTTGTTGGGCACAAAAATAGCCCTGCACTGGGCTGGCTGCCCAGCCAATCCCACTGCCCTCCTGGTCACGGCTGCTGCCCTGCTTGGGTCCATGCCCTCTTCTTCCCCCGCTGCCCAGTTAACGAGCTGGTTCTCTGATTAGCAGCCGGAGCTCCAGGCTGGGGCAGGGGAGGGAGTATGGCTGCAGGGGGTCCTCTCAGGAGGGGGAGACCAAATAAGGCTACTCCTGGGACAGTCCCAAGGAAGAGCTTTCCCCTGCCCCCTGCCACAAAGGGATTCATCTTCCATCCAGCAGTCTTTCCTGCCCAGAGCAGGGGGCTGGACCCGATGATCTTGCAAGGTCCCTTCCAGCCCTGAGCTTCTGTGAATCTGTAAATGCCTCGTGTGACAGGCGAGCGAGCTGAGACTGGGGTCCCAGGTGCTCGTCCTAGAGGATTTGCAGCTTGGGGATCTCATGCGAACGTCAGAGCTGCCGTGTCCTGGCTCAGACCTAGGGCTGCGGTGCCCAGTCTCCAGGCAGCAGAGAGTGGAGGCTGAAGGGAGAGTGACTGGGTTTCCCCCTGCTCCTCTCCCCCCTGCAGCCTCCAGCATTGAAGGTCAGATTTGGAGGCCGTGCTCCTCACTTGCATGCTCAATAGCGGGCGATGCCCCTTTCCTCCAAGCCAGTAGGTTGGAGATGGTGCTGAGCTGCAGGGCAAAGAGAGCGCGAGAGGCGGCCGGCCCTGGTACACGCGCCGCTCTGTTCTCCAGGGCCCCCGGTTCGTGTGCCGCTCGGCTCTCCTCTCGGGGAGCTCTCTCATCGTGCGCGCGGCTCTGCAGGCAGCGCGTTGCTGAGCGATGGCTGCGCGTCTTGGGGCGTCTCGCCGCTGGGCCGGGAGGCAGAGCGAGGTGGGAGTGTCCGGGCAATCCAGCTGGGAGTGCTCGGGGTAGCTCCCTCTTCCCCATGTAGGCAGGTGGCCTTGTGCTTGCCCATCACCCCTCTGCAGCGTGCCAGGCCTGCCTCTCGCCAGAGGCCTCACAGCACCTGGCACAACCCCGTTCCCTGTGCTCCTGTTGTGCTTGGCATCGCAGTGTCAGCCAGCCTCTGCCCGATGGTGCTGCTGCCGCTTCCTCTGCAGAAAACACGCCATGCTTGGGCGCCGTAGGCCCCACGTCTGCGCCTGGTTCTGGGCAGGCAGCTCCCTCTATCCCGTCCCTCCTGAAGACCTCAGGATCCCTGTGCTGGGAGCCAGCGGCAAGGTCAGGCTCCCTCAGGAGCCCCTAGCAGGCCTCGTTGCAGCTGTGTTAGCCCCAGAGCAGGCAGGTGGATGTGCCAGCACGTTCCCGTGACCCTGCCGGGTTCTCCTAGCTGGTCGTGGTGCGTGGGGAGCGTTTGCTGTGCGCTTGCCTGCCCGGAGCAGCACGTGGTGCTACCTATCGCTGCACGGCCCGTACCCGAGGCCGCAGGCAAGGCAGCGCTGCACGCCGCACGTGAGACCAGGCATGACTGAGCAGCCACCAGTTCTGGAGGCGCAGGGTTGGATGCGAGCTGCCATGCAGACACAGCCCCTGCCCAGCTGGAGCCCTGGGGGCACTCCCCCAGCCATGTGCCGCTCGGTCGGAGAGAGGCTGCTGACGGGAGCTGCTCGTGGAGCCCCACGGCAAGGGCCCCTCGTGCAGGGAAGAAGCTGCTCCCGAGGGGCTCTGGGACAGGGGCTGAGTTCTGGTCACTCGGACGTGTCCTTCCGTCCCAAGTGTCCTTCTCTGCCCCCAGCCCCGCCTGGCTCTCCAGCTGCCCGTCTCCCTTCCCCACGTGTAATAACACCTCAGTGCCCCAAAGCATCGCTCCTGGCCTCAAACCCCTGAGGCTCCCAGCCGGGAAGGCGGTGTAGTTTGTCCTGCCTGCTGTGGTGCCCTGCTGTCTGGGCTCATGCTGGGAGGTGTCCTGGGCTGCCGGCACGGGCCAGGGAGCTCTGGGGCTGGTGGCTGTAAGTGCTGGACCCTCTCCCCCCCCAGTCCCATCCATCTGGCAGGGGGGCCAGGGAGGGGTGATGCCAGGGCCCGACAGTGGCAGTACGGTACGTGGTGCCATGAAGCGCCGAGGCGCGTACGATGGTTGGGAAGAAGCCCTGCCCAGTGCTGTGCCCAGCCTGGAACGTGCCAGGTAAGGCTGAAGCAGGGGCAGGCAGCAGCTGCCTTCCTGCTTGTGTTCAGGACCCGGTTCCCCCCAGGGAGGAGTCCTAAGCAGGGCAGGGGTTCGTGGCCAAGCCGGGGTTAGACCCAGGTCTCCAGCCCCCTTCATGAGCTGGGTCAAGTGGGCTCAGAGCACTAAGGGGCCCTTGTGGGCAGGCAGATCCCAGTGCCTTGGTGCTCACGTGGCAGCCGCCTGCCGAACAGGGGAAAGGTGCCCGAGCAGCAAAGCTTCATGGCTGTTGGTCCCCGGGGTCTGGGTGCGGGTGACGCATGCCATGGACCTCCGCGCCATGGGGTGTGAGTGATAACAAGTGACAGTGGTGAGTCGGACACAGGGGGACCGGCCTCTTGTGGCCCAGGCGGCGGGATGGGGAGGACAGGAGGGAATGGGCCGGGCAGTGGAAAGGGCTGGCTCCCCACGGCTGCTCCTGCCAGGCCAGGAGGCAGGCAGCCACCCACGGGCCTCTCTCCCAGCTCACGTGCCGGTTCCCAGGCCTGAGGGACGGGTTTGTGCCTCTCCCACTGTTGACTGGCGCCACTGGGCAGGGGCAGAACGGCCCTGCCCGACCCCGCGCCCACCTGCAGCTCTCTCCCCAGGCGCTCCACCAGCTGTACTACGACCCGAGCATCGAGAACAAGAACCTGGCGCAGAAATGGCTGATGCAGGCCCAGGTCTCGCCCCAGGCTTGGCACTTCAGCTGGCTCCTGCTCAACATGGACAAGGTGCCCGAGATCCAGTACTTCGGCGCCAGTGCCCTCCACATCAAGATCTCGCGCTACTGGAATGACATCCCGGCCGACCAGTACGAGAGCCTCAAGTCGCAGCTGTTCGCCCAAATCGCCCGCTTCGCCGGTGGCTCCAAGATTGTGCTCACGCGGCTGTGCGTGGCGCTGGCCTCTCTGGCGCTCAGCATGATGCCCGAGGCCTGGCCCTGCGCCGTGGCCGACATGGTACGCATGTTCCAGGCAGAGGACGCCAATGTGGACGGGCGGGCGCGTTGCCTGGCGCTCCTGGAGCTGCTGACGGTGCTGCCCGAGGAGTTCCAGACCAGCCGCCTGCCCCAGTACCGCAAGGGGCAGGTGCGCAGCGTCCTGGCGCAGGAGTGCGGCTCCGTCTTCCCCTTGCTGGGACAGCTGCTGCAGCAGCAGGACTCCCCCGGCTTCATCAAGCAGAAGGTGCTCAAGTGCTTCTCCAGCTGGGTGCAGCTGGAGATCCCCCTCATGGACTGCGAGAGCCTCATCCAGGCGGCCTTTGCCTCCCTGCAGGACCCTGAGCTCTTCGACACAGCCGTGGAGGCCATTGTCAACGCCATCTCCCAGCCTGACGCCCAGAGGTAAGAGCACCGCGGGGCAGGGGCCCAGTCACCCCCCTGTAAGGGCCTGGGGGTGGCGCAGAGCGGGGGCAGCCCCAGGTTCACGGCTGCTCAAGCTGGTTGCAGGCAGGGGCAGGATACCGATGCCATGTTGGCTTTACAGGCCTGGGGCTCCAAGATCCTCAGGATCTTCGCTGTCAGAGCAGGGAGGCCGTGGGGGTACTCTCCATCCCTGGAGGGGTGCAAGGAGAGGCTGGACAGGCACTGGGTGGGGATGATCTGGGTGCAGCGATGCCTGTGCTCTGCTGTGGGGATTTCCCAGGCCTCCGGACTGAGCCGGTTGCTGCAGGGGGCTGGGAGGGAAATTTCCCCCACCACCCTCCTGCTGCTCCATGTGTCACGGTTTTCTTTTGGGTATTTATTGGGTGCTGCTGCAGCCCAGGCTGGGGATGGGACTGGGCTGCACCAATGCTCCTGCCGGCACCGACCCGCAGGGTCCTGGCTGGAGGGTCTTGCCCCTGCGCTCAGGCTCAGCCCAACGCTGCACTGGGGGCAGGAAGGGATTTCCCCCTGCTCAGACTGGTCTGGACTGGGGCGGGGTTTGCCTTCCTCTGCCTGGGGTCTCCGGAGCGTCCACGAACCCCCTTTGCAGCAGCAGGACATTGGCAGCTGCGGCCCCCCTGCTTTCCCGGGGGCAGGGGCAGGTGTGATGTCCTGTGTCAGGCCACGGTCATGTTGCTCAGAGCCCGGACACGGGGTTTGTCTGGACTGGTTTGGACAGAGATGATCCTGCCTCAGGCAGGGCTTGGACTGGGTGCGACCCCGCGGCTCCAGGACCCTGATCTCCATGCGGTGCTGGTCGGTGGCAGGAGGCTCCACACCCAGCGCTGACCCGCGGCACGAGCGCATCCTGGCTGCTGGCTCCGTGTGCTGCTGCTCCCAGCCAGCCAGCCCGGTGGGGCCCGGGTGTTGGGGACATCCCGCAGAGGGATGGATAGGAGCAGGAGCAGGAGCAGGTTGAGCGCACTAGCGTCCGTCAGCCCTGCGGCAGGGGCTGAGGGCTGTGGGCTTCAGGGAGACGCCTGTCACTGCCCACTGCCCTCAAGGGGCAGACGCAGCCCAGGTCTGCCGGGCTCCGGCGCCGCGAGCCGAGCGGGGCTGTCTCGTAGGCCGGAGCCCGCTGCCCCTTCAGGGAAAGTGCGTCTCCTCCAAGGCTCCCGTCGGCCACATTTTCCTCTTAGTTGCTTAGCAACCTTGCCGTTCTCCGGCGAAGAGGGGGAACGGGCGGCTGGGCCGAGCCAGCGCAGCATGTGCCAGCCGGGCCGCGGCCTCCACGCACGCTCGGATGCCAGGGCAGGGAGGGGGTCTGAGTCCGGCCCTGTTGGGACAGGGGCTGCCCAGGGAGCTCGGGACGCGCCGCCTGGCTGGGGCACGCTGGAGAAGCGCGCCGGGGCTGCAGCGCCTGGGGGGAGGGAGCCGACTGCAGCTCCCGGCAGCGCAGACGCTGCAGCCGGAGCCAAGGGAAGCTGCAGGCACTCGGCTCCTTCCATTCCCACGGGCTGCCTCCACGCTCCTGCGCCCAGCCCCCAGCTCGCACCCGGCTCTGCCTGCCTGCATCGAAGCGGGTGCCAGCAGGGGCTGGGGCTGCTTCCCCCGGCTGGGGGCAGTGCCCGCGGCATGGCTGCCCCGTGCCGGTCCCCAGGGCATCCCCACGCACTGTCATTGAATGCCGTGACCTTGCACCCGAGCTTCTGCAGCGACCATGCCGGGTGCACCCCTCAGCCTGGCTGGGTTTGCTGGGGGCCCTTCCCTCCCCCCCATTTCAGTGTCAGCCCCTCTTGCGGAGGCAGCCGGGTGCCCAGCGGCTGAGCGAGCGGCCTGGCCGCGCGGCTGGGGCAGGCACCACCGCCAACACCGGCTGTCCCAGGGCAGGCAGAGGCTAGGCTCTTCTGAGCCGTTGGTGCTCGCAGCAGGGATAGCTTGGGCTGCAGCCTGCCCGGATCAGAGAGGCCCAGCCCCACATCAGGGGCTCGTTGTCCCCCTGCTCTCAGGCCCCCACCTGCCAGTACCCAGGTGCACATGCCCAGAGCTTCTCCTCGTCCTCCCCCAGCCCAGTCGCTGCTCCGTGGAGGGGACGAGCTGCTGCCGGCACAGGCTGGCTGGCACCCTCCCCCCTCACCAGGGCTCTGGCTGCCTGTGGCAGGTACCGGGACAGGCTTCTGTCTCCGTCCCACATCTGTCCCCCTGCATCAGCTTCCAGCTCCTCCGCCCTCCCGGAGCTCTGCTCTTCTCCACTGTATCCGAGCGCCCCTCAGGCCACAGCCGCCTTCCTGGCCTGGATTCGCATCTGCCGCGTGCCGGCCTGGACAGCTGGCTCCTATCGGGCAGTGAGCCCTGCACAGGGCTGGGTCCATGCTGACCCCAGCATCCATCCCCATCCTCCATCTCCAGCCCTGTGGGGACCTCTGACCCCATGCAGTCCCTGCCCACTCCCCCCATCCCAGGTGGAGGGCAGGGCCGCAGCGGAGGCAGGTCTCCCAGGACCCTCCTGCCCTCCCTGTCCCTTCCAGACCGTCCCGGAGGCTCCTGCTGCATCCTGCTCCCCTGGGCATGGGACAGGTGGGCCTGCAGCTGGTTGCATCAAGCCAGGCAAGGCTGCCCGCCATGTGCCCTAGGGGCACAGTTTGCCCATCGTCTGCACCAGGCCTGGAGTGGGCTGCGCCCAGGAGGCGGAGAGCAGGGTAAGCCACCAGCAGTGAGCGGGGCGAAGGAGAAGAAGCCGCTGCAGCGCCCCTTGCTAGGAGCAGGCTGGAAGGGGCCCCGTGGGTGCTGGCAATCTGGCCTGGCAGGAGCTGAGCTGGCAGGAAGCGTGCGGGTCACAGCTCCCTCGCTGTTGGGCAGCACTGGCTGGCTCGTGGGGGCCCAGCTCTCCCCTCGCTTTCCCATTGTCCAGCCCCAGGGCTGAACCCTGTCTGGGGGAGCGCTCCCCAGCCGGCCAGCAATGGCGACCCCCACCGCGTGCTCCGCTGCCTGCAGGGAGAGTCCGTCCCGTGCCCTCGGACGCTCCGGCTGCAGGGTGCTGCACGGACCCTTCTCCTGCCGACCGAGGCTCTGCCCAGCCGCCTCCTCCAGCACAGACCCTGGTGTCCCTCCCTGCAGAGACCCAGCTCAGCCTGCCCTCTCCCAGAGCAGGCTGCCCATTCAAGCAACACGCCTGTAGCAGAGGGCCCTTCACGCCCTCCTCTCTGGGGGCTGGCCCGGTTCCGGCGGGGAGAACCCGGGGACCCTCCTGCTCCTGGCGGGGAAACGCGGGTCCCTGTAGCCTGCCGAGGCCTGGGGGAGCGGCTGTCCCTGGACAGGCCAGCGCAACGCCCTTCCCGAGCGGGGCAGTGCCAGGCCCTGGAGGGGGCAGATACGGGCCGTGGTGGTGCCCCCTCCAGCAGGGCAGAGGCCCCAGCCCCGTGCCCCCGCCGGCCCGGCGTCCCCAGATAAGCGGCCGGGCAGGCAGGTGAGTGGCAGGCAGGCGCAGAGCCTCCGGCACAGCCGGTCTCTGGGGGCCGCCCGCCCGCTTCCTCCTCGCTGCCGGCTGCCATGGTTACAGTCGCTTATTGGCAGCTGCGGGGAAATCAGGGGGCATTGCTCTGGGATGCTGCTGCTGCCTGGGGGGTGCCCGTGCGCCAGGCCACGAGCCGGGCTCCTGGGGAGGGGTGGGGGGCGGGGGGCAGCATGTCCTGATGAAGCCCCCATGCAGCTGCTGCTTCCCAGAGGCCTTAGGGATGCCACGTGCCTGTTGTGTGCCCAGCCGCAGAGACCTCCTCAGCCTCCCCTGTGACCCAGGGTGGCCGTCTCCTGCCCCCCAACCCCCCTTTTTCTGCTCCACGTGTCAGGGGGGTTTTAACTGGGTGCTGCTGCAGCTCAGGCTGCATGGGGCTAGGCTGTGTCAATGCTCCTGTTGGCACCCACCCTGCAGGGTCCTGGCTGGAGGGTCTTGCCCCCGCGCGCGGGCTCAGCCCGATGCTGCACTGGGGCAGGAAGGGATTTTCCCCCTGCTCAGACTGGTGTGGACTGGGGGGGGGTTTCCCTTCTTCTGCAGCGAGGGCATGGCCTGGGCCTGGGCTCCCTGCAGCATCCATGACCACCCCTGGTAGCAGCAGGATGTTGGCAGCCACGACCCCCCTGCTTTCCGGGGGGAAGGGGTGATGTCCATGTTGCATCAGGGGCGATGGTCGTCTTATGTGGAGTTTAGTTTATGGTCGTCTGGGCTGGTTTGGACAGGGCTGATCCTGCCTCAGGCAGGGCTGGGACTGGATGTGACCCCTGCCAGTGCGTTCCAGCTCTGCGGCTCCAGGATTTTGAGACTCTCTGGACCTCTGCATCTGGGCTGCTGAGGCCGGGAGCAAAGGCTGGGGCAGCCCGAGCCCCGTGCAGCTCGCTGCCACCATCCCAGTGCAGGGTGCCATGCTGACCCAGCTCTCCTTACAGGTACGTGAACACCCTGCTGAAGCTCATCCCCCTGGTGCTGGGGCTGCAGGAGCAGCTGCGCCAGGCCGTGCAGAGTGGGGACATGGAGACGTCGCACGGGATCTGCCGCATCGCCGTGGCCCTGGGCGAGAACCATTCCCGGTGAGCGGGGCCGGGGCCGTCCCTACGTGAGGAGCATTCCCCCTCCTGGGGGGTGGGGTTGGTTGGGGATGTCAGCGAGGGGGTCGCTGTGGGCCCCGAGTCCAGCTGCAGCTGCCCCTACCCGGGCTCCATGAGGTCTGACCCGCGCTGCCTCCCCACAGGGCGCTACTGGACCAGGTGGAGCACTGGCAGAGCTTCCTGGCGCTGGTCAACATGATCATGTTCTGCACTGGCATCCCCGGGCACTACCCTGTCAATGAGACCACCAGCTCCCTGACGCTCACCTTCTGGTACACGCTGCAGGTGAGGCTGGTGCCTGGGGACACTCATCCTGACCCAGTGTTTCCAGGCATGGGGTTGGGCAGGGGGACCAGGCTGGAGGGTTGCTGTCCTGGGCCTGCAGCTCCTCTGGTTTTCCATGCTGCACAGCCCACTCCCAGTCAGCCTTCTGCTCCTGCCTGCTGTCCCCCAGCAGGGTCGAGACACGTGCCGATACACGTGTGCCCTGCTGCTTGGCCTCGGGTCATTGCTGCAAGAGCTCGTGGGCCCAGGCCAGGCCCATTGCTGCGCGGCAGCTCAGCGAGGGGCTGGCATAGATGGGCGTCAAGTGCCTGTTCCCCCCTACAGCTCAGGCTGGGCCCTGTGCCACAGGACTGCCCTGCAGAGCCCTGGGGCTCGGGCTGAGGAGCCTCAACTGGGCTCGTCCCAGCTGTGTCCTGGTGGAGCAGCTGGGAGCAGTGCTGAGCTCCCCGGACCCCCATGATGCTGGAGGGACCCCCCTGGCCACAGCCCCATCAGGCTCCAGTTCAGTGGCCACAAGCCGGGGGCCATCCCAGGTCCCCTTCATCCCAGTGGTTTCCAGGGGAGCAAGGGGGCATCTAGCTGAAGTGATTTGATGATTGAGTGAAAACAATTGAGGGGCTCCCTTTCTCCATGGCAATGGGCAGAACTGGGGGGCTGCAGCCTGTTCCTCCCTAGCCAAGCACAGTCTCCCAGGGCAGAGCTGGGGTCTTGTGGTGGGGCCAGCCGCGGCCTGGATGAGCAGCTAGAAGGGAGCAAGCCCCAGGGCCTGGGCCCTCAGGCCCTTCTCTCTGCTCCCTCTCCGGCTCAGAGCCAGCCCAGCGCTTTGCCCCATTCCCCTGGAGGGAAGGAGCCCTGTGGGCCTGCCCCTGCCTCGCAGACCCCGGGGGCCATGGCTAGGATGGGCCTGCGAGTGGGTGTAGTGACCCCTGGCCCCAGGCTCTGGTGTCTCATGGGGGCCTGGCTGGCTGGTCCAGGGGGCATCCCCTCTCCTGACAGCTCCGGGGAGCCAGAGCCCCTGCCGGTGCCGGAGAGGCCTTCGTGGGAGGCCTCAGCCACTTGGCTTGGCTTCACCCCCCCACCCTGTTCCTTTTGGGCCTCGTTAGCCTGGCTAATTAAAAACCCCCTCACACACCAGCCTCCGCCAGCAGCGAGTCTGACTGCAGCTCTGCGCTGCGTGTCTGTGCCAGCTGCCGGCGGAGATGAGGTCACGCATTGTCTTCGTGTGTGCCTGGCCCCGTTCTTGGGCCCGCGCCCTGTCTGTTGGGGGGGGGCAGGGAGCCAGGCTGCTGGGATCTTCCGGCTGGCCGTCACCCTGCAGGACGGGGGGCTCGTGCAGTGACACGCTTCCCTCTTAGTGGCCTGGGCTAGTCCCGTCCCGTCAGTGCCCTCGAGCTCTGCAACCCGGTGGCCTGGCACGCTGACCTCGCTGCTCCTGGCCTGGCCTGCCTGGGGGGCTTACATTTCTGTGCCCAGAAGCACTTCTGCCTTTGGGGCATGGGGGAGGCTGCAGGAGCTGCCTGGCTCATGGAGCCTTGGGCTCTGGTCACCAGACAGCCCCTGGCCCCAGAAAGCTCCCGGCACATGGCTGCACGGGGTCTGCACATCCTGCCCCCTGCCGCGCATGAAGCACAGTCTCCCCACAGCGGGTAGCCCAGCCAGAGTGACGTCCCTTCTCTCCTTGCCAGCCCCAGGCCACGCTCGGGGCTGGATTCACCTCCAGGCCCGGGCTGCTGCCCCCAGCCTCAAGTGAAACTGAAATTATAGCAGGGCCTTTGGGAGCTCGTGGCCGAGGGGCAGCGCAGCGAGAGCCTCAGCAGCCAGGGGCTCGTGCTCCCAGCTTTGCCGCAGGCCGTGTGCTATCACCCACCCTGAGCTATGGGCCAGGCTGACCCTGATCGCCACCCAGCTGCAAACACCCGGGGTTTCGGTGCCCGGGAACCGCAGCCCCCTGGGCGCAGCAGCAGTGACCCTGCAGGGGAGGGCTGCCACTGCCAAGGTAATGGGCTGTATTTAACCCTGGGCTCAGCCCTGGGCTGTATTTAACCCTGGGCTCTGCCCTGGTCTCCGCTCCGGCTCTCTGCTCCACAGCCAGCCATGGTGGTGCCGCGTGGGCCAAGGAGGAGGTGGTGTCAGCACCGGGCTGAAGCTCTGGTTCAGCCTCAGGGCAGCCCCCAGAGGAGCATGGATCCCTGGATCATCCGTCCCAGCAGCCCTGGCTGTGTCGCAGAGAGCTGCAGGGGCTGGGCATAGCTGAAGCCGTGCCCCACGGCCCCAGGTGGAGCGGGCTTTGAGTTTGCCTTGCCAGTGTCTGGCCGTGGGGGTCCAGGGAGGACGGAGCGTGATGGTGGGGGCCAGGCATCGATGGGGACTGTAGGTTGGCCTGGCTGCCAGGGCGCTCTGCAGGGACACAATGCCCAGGCATCCCCAAGGGCACGTGGAGCTGAGCAGGGGGCTGGGGAGCTCCACGCCCCCCAGAGCTCTGGGCTGTCAGGGCCTGGCCCTGCCCTGCACTCCCGCCCAGCGCAGCCGGTCTCCCCTTCTCTCCCCAGGATGACATCCTGTCCTTCGAGCCGGACAAGCAGGCAGTGTACCAGCAGGTGTACCGGCCCGTGTACTTCCAGCTGGTGGACGTGCTGCTGCACAAGGCTCAGTTCCCCTCGGATGAAGAATACGGGTTCTGGTCCTCGGACGAGAAGGAGCAGTTCCGGATATACAGGTGTGCCGGGGAGCAGCGGGGCGCACGCGTCCTTTTCCCAGCTCCTGTCTTGGCGTGAGGGGCCCTGGGGTCTCCCTTGTGCTTGGTGGGGACAGTGTGGATTGGGGCTGCTGGGCAGTGTGGGAGATTGGTGCTTGACTCCATGCCCCCCACCCAGGGTGGACATCTCTGACACCCTGATGTACGTCTACGAGATGCTGGGCGCAGAGCTGCTGAGCAGCCTCTACGACAAGCTGGGCCGCCTGCTGACCAGCACGGAGCAGCCGTCCTCCTGGCAGGTGAGCAAGCAGCCCCAGGTCCGGCAGCTCCCTGTGCTGGGCATGGAGGTGCGGGGCACTGGGGGTGCACTGAATGGGGCAGCCAGGACCAGCAGGGCAGGGCTCTGAGAGCCTGACTGGCCTGGACCGCCTCACCGGCACCCCCAGCAGCTGGCCGTGGCCAGCTCCCACAGTGGCAACACCGCCTTGTTCATCACCGTCTGCTGTGGGGCCATTTGCCGTCCAGGTGCAGCCCCCGTGGCTGCGTTGGGCAGCATCTAGCACAGGTGCAGCATGGCCAGAACCCACCAGGCTGTGGCTGCCCCCTCCGCAGACGAGACGCTGCTGGTCCCAGGCAGCGGATGAGGGGGACGTGCTTGCAGCTGCCTTCTCCCTGCCTGGGGGTGTTGGGGGGGTGAAGTGAGCAACCGGGCCTTTGGTCTGGCAGGCTCTGGCCAAGCAGGCAGGTGACGTGGAGTATGCAGTAGGGCCCAGTCCCGGCAGCCCCTGGCCCAGGGTCTGTCCTCTCTGCACTGGGGCTCCTCTACAGAGCTGGTGTCTCTGTGTGTGGTGTCAGGGGAGGGGGCCAGGGGCAGCATACCAGCTGGGCAGGGAAATGGTTGCTCCTTGAGCTGCCCCATCTTAGGGACTGACTGAGCCCTCTGGTGCACCAGTGGGGCGAGGAGGGCAGTGCCCTGGGAGGCAGCACCCTCCCTTGGCCCAAGAAGAGATCCAAGGAGCCTCTGCTGGTGCCCCCATCCCAGTCCCCAGCCCCTGCTTCCCCTGCTTGCAGGTGGGAGCCATGGGTGGGCACAGTGGATGTGGCCCCAGGTGGGGGGGGCAGAGGGGGGTGCTGCCCTGGCCGGGCTGTGACACAGGCGCCTCTCCGCAGCACACAGAAGCCCTGCTCTACGGCTTCCAGTCCATCGCCGAGACCATCGACGTCAACTACTCGGACGTGGTGCCCGGGCTCATCGGCCTCATCCCCCGCATCAGCATCAGCAACGTGCAGCTGGCCGACACAGTCATGTTCACTATCGGTGAGGCGTCGTGGGGGAGCCCAGGCCTCCCCTCGCGGCCCCCCGCCCCCACCCGCCCCACCGGAGGCTTGTCCCTACTTGGGGCAGCCGCTCACGCCGCTGGGCTTCGTGCCCCGGGTCCTGCTTCAGTGGGGCGGGGGCTGGGAGGGGAGCATGGCCCCGGCCCCGTGGCTGACCCGCCTTGCGCCGCAGGGGCCTTGTCCGAGTGGCTGGCTGACCATCCCGTCATGATCAACAACGTGCTGCCGCTGGTGCTGCAGGCGCTGGGCAACCCCGAGCTCTCCATCTCCAGCGTCTCCACCCTGAAGAAGATCTGCCGGGAGTGCAAGTACGACCTGCCCCCCTACGCCGCCAACATCGTCGCCGTGTCCCAGGTGCGAGGGTGGGGCAGGGACCTGGGGCTGGGGCTGGGGCGTGTCTCGTGGGCCAGCCTGTGCTCCGCCGGCTCTGGGCCGGGCAGGCTCTGCCCTGGTTCTGTTGTGCCGCTGGCCTGGCTCACACGGCTTTGCGGCCCCCTGCCCTGCTCCTGCCTCCCGCGGGCCCAGTGATGCCAGGGGCTGCGTTCAGGGTGGTACTTGTGGCTCCCATGGAGGCTGCCCGTGGCTGGTGCCTGCCCATGGGGTCTGCTGGCTGCTGTGCCTCACCCTTTCCCAGTGCCCCCTGACAGTGACCCGCTGCTCTTTCTCTCTCTCCCCAGGAGGTGTTAATGAAGCAGATCCACAAGGTGAGTCTCACTCCCCATCGATCTGTGCACATGGGGGGGTGGAGGGGTGGGCCCGCTTACAGCCTTGCGGGCGTGTGCCCCTGGCTGTGACCCGGGCAAGCTGCTCCCTGCACAGAGATGCGAGTGCGCCCCGTTCTGGGCCCAGCTGCCCCCACGTGCGGCCTGAGCATGGCAGTCAGGGCCCAGGGCTGGTGTCTGCGCTGCAGAGAGAAGCTGAAGGGCTGCAGAGCAGCCACCCCTCTTTGGAGCAGACGGCCAAGGGGCGGGCATCTCCCCCAGAGCCCAGCCTGCTGCACCAGCTCTAAGCGCTCGGGCTGTCCAGCTCTGGGACAGGCGCCCCAGAAACCTGCTTGATGCTTGGTTGTGCACCCTGTCCCCAGGCCTGAGTGGCCACCTCTCTCCCCGTGCATGCTCCCCAGCGGGGTTCAGAGGCCAGTGCCAGACCTTGCTGTGACCTCCCTCCTCTGCCTTCCAGACGAGCCAGTGCATGTGGCTGATGCAGGCGCTCGGCTTCCTGCTCTCGGCGCTGCAGGTGGAGGAGATCCTGAAGAACCTGCACTCCCTGATCAGCCCCTACATCCAGCAGCTGGAGAAGCTGGCCGACGAGACCGTGAGTTGGGTGCAGTGTGAAGTGTGGCCCCCGACCAGCCCAGCCAAGTCCTGGGCCTCCCCCGCAGGCCTTGCTCTCACCCTGGCTCGTGGGGAACTCGTGCTCTCACTCACGTGTGAGGCGGGCTCCCTGGGCAGCCCGTGGGCTGAGGTCTGCTGCACGGTGCATGCTGGCACCTGGCTCCCAGCCCTCCCAGAGCCCTCCCAGCAGGCAGACATGGTGTTCTCAGGTGTCCTGCTGGAGGCTCGGTGCCAGCTGGGGCAGGGGCCCCATGAGTGGCCCAGAGACTGCTGGAGCTGGGGCAATACAAGGAGCTGCCTCCCCCGGCACTTAGCCTTGGTGCTGCCCGTCCAGCAGCCAACTGCGAGGACCCAGGCGTCCTAGTGGGCCCCAACGCCTCCCGCAGCTGCAGACTCACTGCTCGCTTTCCCCTGGCAGCCCAACCCCTCCAACAAGCTGGCTATCATCCACATCCTGGGCCTGCTGTCCAGCCTCTTCACTACCCTGGATATCAGCCACCATGATGACGACCACGAGGCTGCCGAGGTCAAGAAGCTGCCCCTGCAGCAGGGGCCCAACCCGGTGCGTGCTGTGGTCATGCCACTCTCCGGGCTGCCTTAGACTGCAGGAGGGAATCACACTGCTTTAGCGGGGGTCTTGCCTGGCCACGTCTCCTAGGAGCAGAGCCTGCCCCCTTTGCCAGAGAGACTGACTGCCCGCGAGGCTCTGGCCCACCCCGAGCCAGCTACCATAGGGAGGGCACATAGGCGGGTGGTGTGACCTACACTGTAGCCTGGGGCAGAAGCGCTGGCACGATCTGGTGGCGTCTGCCCCACCCAGGGCTGGGCACAGGGATCTAGGGCAGTTTCTTCGTGGATCAGGGCCCAGGGCTGGCAGAGAGTCAGGATGTGGCCAGGAGGGGCTGGGCCGACCTGAGGAGGAGGAGGTGACCAAGGAAATCTGTGCCTACGGGCTTTGAACCCCATCCCTACCCCCTATGCACCCATGTTGGGAACCCTCCAGGCTACCCCCTCCCTCCCACTGGACACCCCTGGGGTAGGCTCCCCTGGGCAGCGGTGCTGCGGCCTGGCCCTGAGCCCCCTCTCGCTCCGGCAGGTGGTGGTGGTCCTGCAGCAAGTCTTCCAGCTCATCCAGAAGGTGCTCAGCAAGTGGCTGAACGACGCCCAGGTGGTGGAGGTAATGGCTCTGGGTGGGAGGCACTGGCTCCATTGCACACCCACTGCGGACAGAGCCCAGCGTGCGGCAGCATTGTGGGGGGGGCTGGGCCACAGCCCTGAACGGGGCAGCCTCGGGGAAGGCGGTTTGAGGAGCCCTGACCTGGCAGGGGCTGCTGGGCTGGGCTCGGGCCAGGCACCCGCCCTCCTCCGCACTCTGCCTGCACTTCTGACCTGGCCCTGCTCACCCGTGTCCCTGCTGGGACTGACCTCATGCAGGACTGGCATCGCCTGGGTTTGCTGGAGGGGCGGCCAGGGGGGCGCCCACTGCTCCCAGGGGCATTGCCACTGAAGCGGCATCAGGTGTGGCTCTGAGTGGCCGGGTCAGCCCCTGCCCTGCTGCAGGCGACTCCGCCGCCACCCCCTGCCCACACCACCCCTCCCTCCTGTCCCCGCAGTCTGTCTGCGCCATCTTCGAGAAGTCCGTGAAGACCTTGCTCGACGACTTCGCCCCCATGGTCCCGCAGCTGTGCGAGATGCTGGGCCAGATGTACAGCACCATCCCCCAGGCCTCTGCCATCGACCTCACGCGGCAGGTACGCAGCAGGGGGATGTGGGGCGGGCTGTGGGGTGGCACCTGGCTCCCAGCAAGCATGTGGGATCGGGGCTCGGGCAGGCACCAGTGTCAGAGAGCCGAGCCCAGCACCCCTGGCCCCTGCAGGCAGGGCATGGCCGGGCGGGCCGGCACCATGGTCGCTGGCCTCGTGGCAGTTCCAAGCGGGGAGGCGAGGGCCTGGCTGGAGTTGCTGGCTGGTCAGAGCTTCAGCCCCTCTCTCTCTCCCTCTCCCCCAGCTGGTTCTCATCTTTGCCAACGAGCCCGCCCACTTCCCCCCCATCAAGGCCCTCTTCCTGCTGGTCACCTCCGTCACACTCACCCTCTTCCAGCAAGGTACGTGCGCAGCACTCCTGCGGGCCGGGCGAGGGCGAGCCGGGGCACGGGGATCTGGGAGCAGGCCAGCTAGTGGAGCTGGTCTGCTCTGGTTCACCTGAGAGAAGGTGGGTGGAGGACGCAGGAAGAGAGGTGTCCCCTGCCCTCCCACGTAGCCCCGCGGGCTCGGCGCCGGCCAGCCTGTCCTGTGCCACTGAGCAAGTGACCCCGGCTCCGGGCCACCATGGGGATGGGAGCCCTGGTTTGGCGCTGGCAAGGCCCTGCAGTCCCGAGCAGCTCTGCTGCCAGGTGCTGGAGTGCTCCAGTTGTCCCCTTGCAGCCTTGGAGGGGGGTGGCCATGAAGGGTTACCGCCGCGCAGGTGTCGGTGTTCCTGCCCCATAGCCTGGCAGGGCTTGGAGTTGGCCCAGAACCGAGCCTGGGCCCGAGCAGAGGGACTCTGAGCTCGAGGGAACCATCTCTCCAGAGCCCGGCTCGGCCCAGCCCCACGTCCGGGGGCAGGGGGACAGTGCCCTGCGCAGAACAGCCCAGACCCCCGAAGGGGTCCCCAGCCCCAGCCCTGCTTCTCCTTTCCGCCCCCCCATCCCCATCCTGCCCGGCACGCTCGGGCCTTCTGCTTCCCTGCTGGAGCCAGGCCTGCCCGCTCCTGCCAGCCTGGTGGCTGGGGCTGTCCCAGCTCTCTGGCCACACTCTGCCCAGTCCCTGAAGGCGTGCTTCCTTCTGTGGTCATGGCCCCACGTCAGGGCAAGGTGACGGCTGTCCCCTGCGGGGGTGAGGAGCTGGCGCTTCCCCGGGCAGGTTCGTGGGCAGGCAGGCCGGGCCTGGGCTGATGCACAGGTGTCGCGGGAGCGGGTGTCGGAGGTAGGAGACTCCTCTCGGCCCGGATGGGCACAGACATGGCTCAGGGTAGCGCCGGCCCCTCTCTGCTTCTTGCTCATGTTGGGTTGGGAGCCAGCTGCAGAGAGCTGCCCAGGTCTCCCCAGGATCCTGGGCCCCTGCCCTGTGGCCACCCAGGACATGGGCTCTCCTGAGCGTGTGCACGTGCCGGGGACACGCACGCACACGAGACGGGATGGAAGGCTGAGCCCTGCGAGCTCGCAGCCGGGCCGGCACAGAGCCGGGCGCCAAGGTAGGCTGGTGGCGGCCGGGCCGCAGAGGTCCCCAGCTGCCCAGGAGACGGCTCAGGGCCCCGGACTAAGAGCGGACGGCAAAAACAGCGCGGCCTCAGGGCCCGGGACTGGGGCCAGACATGGGCCCCGGCAGCAGGTGCGAGCCCGGGCCGCCCGTACTGCTGAATGCCCACGGAGGTCTCACCAGGTCTTCACAGCCTTTCCAGGACCACGTGGCTCAGTGCCACAGCCCGAATCCTCCTCCTCCTCCTCCTCTTCCTCCTCCTCCTTGCCAAGATGGTGCCCAGCTAGCCCCCCCCGCCCCCCTCCACGGACACAGCGATCTCTACCTCCCCGGCTCCGCAGCCCCCGGGCGCTTGGCACAGACCCCGGGGGCCTCAGACCCTTTCCTTTGCCGTTTCTTTCTGTTCTTGGGTTCTTCAAGTTTCATGATTTTTGTACGTTTTGTTTCTTTAACTTGCTTCAAGCTGCTCATATCCCCTCCCCGTCCGCCACCCCTGCCCTCCCCACTCCTGTTTTCACTTGTAGATTCTTTCTGTACCACATAACTATATGATGTTGAGTTGCTGTTTGTATGATTTTCTCTTAAGTTACATCTTTATTATATTTTAGGGCCCAGGGATCATCCTGATATTGTTGATTCATTTATGCAACTCCTGGCACAGGTGTGTTTTAGTTTCTTATTCATTCACTTTCCGTTCTCTCTCTTTCTCTTTTTAATTCAATTTAAACCTATTTTTAGCTTTCCGTTGACAACGTTTTTTTCCTTTTAGTTGAATATCGAGTTTCTCCATCTGTTTCCGTGGAAGTTGAAAACAAAACCTTCTCCTTTTAGTCCTGGGGTCACGCCAGCCCCGGGGCAGCCCTGGCCCTGCCGGCCCCCCTCATCGGCCTCGGGGGTGGGGGCCGCCCCCGGGCTGCCGCTGCCACCTCCGCACTTGGCCTGCAGAAGGCCGGGGCACCAAACGGGCTCTCTCTGCTCCTCCAGCCTCAGCTCTGCAATGGCCCCGCGGGGCTGGGGCACCTGCTGTGCCTGCTGGCCCGTGCGGCAGCACAAAGCTGGCTTCGCTGGCAGCTGGCACTCCCACGCACTGCTTTGGGTGGCTTTTGGCCAAAAGGCTGGTCCCAGGCTGCGTGGCCAGCAAGGCAGCCCCTCTCCGTACCCACAGGCAGCAGCCACCGGGGTTAGGTCGGAGCCACCGGGCGCTGGGAGCGGGACGTCTGGGGTTCCTCGTGTTCCTCGCCAGGCCCTGGATGCGTGAGGCTGGCCCGCACATCAGGGGCCCCTCGGAGAACCGTACAGTCCCGCACCCAGCAGCCGGTCTGCTCCGAGCAGGCGCCTGTCACCCCGCGGGCCGGCTCCGAGGTCCCAAGCGATCCTGCGGCACCGCCGCCTGAACACTGACACGACAGGCGGGCCAGGCACTGGCCGAAGCAGGGCTGTGCAGAGGCTGTGTCCGGAGGAGCTGCCTGGCTCCTCTGCTCCCGCAGGCTCGGTTTCCTCACCAGGAGGGCAGAGATGGCCTCTGTGGCTCGGGCACGTGCTGGCCGCCTCGCTTCCAGGCCACGCGGGCTAGGCTGGAGCGTGGGGTGGAGGTTTCTGCGGCTGGGAGCAGGCAGGGGCTGGTTATGCAGTGTGTGTACAGACGTCTGCGGATGGGTGCAGGATTTGCATCTTGGCCGCTGACCTGCCAGGGAGGCTCTGGCAGGACGGGCTGCTTGCGGCACCTTCCCAGGGTGCAGGGTGCTGTCGTTGTAGCGCGGGAGTTGGCTTAGGCGTCTGCTGGCTCGGGGAGCCCGTCAGGGTACTGGCGGATATATCCAAGCATCCGGGCGTCTTGACTCCTGCCCCAGCCTGGCACGACAGCACGATGCTTCCAGAGCCGCCAGCGTGGGGCTGCGCTGCATCCCGGGGCACTGGCCTGAGTGTCGTGGCTGCGGGACGTGGCCGTGATGGGCTGAGGGTATGCAGCAGTGCTTGGGGTCGTGGCAGCGCAGCCTGGCTGCCTCGGGGGCACCGGCCGCCCACCACTGTCCGGTACTGGGGCCGCACCTGCTGGCTTGTCGCTTGTCGCCTCTGGTGCGGGGTGTGCTGAGGCCTGCCCTGTCTGGGGAGCGCAGGGGTGCCCGGTGCCCATCCGTCCGTGTGCTCGCTGTGCTGTGCTGGTGCCGAACCCCGGCCTGTGTGTGGCTGAGGGGCTCGTCTGTGCTGCCAGGGGTGCGAGGCAGGCCGGCCTGTCCTGCACTGCTCCCAGCTGGACACAGCTCTGCTCCTCTCCTGGGAGACCCCCGTGCAGCCGTGTCTGCTCCCGGCTGCAGCTGCCCCAGTCTCTGCCCCCCTCCTGGGTCCAGTGTTGCCAAGCCGCGCATGGGAGCCTTGCAGCTCGGGGGGACGGACCGGGCTGGAGCCCTGGGCCCAGCCAGCATCTCTGGGCTTGGGCTGGTTCGTAGGCAGAAGCTCCTTCGCCCGCGCGGTCTCTGGACTTGGTCGGTGAGAGGCGCGGGGAGGTGAGGGCAGGGGGTGCAGTGTCCGGTGGCATCTCTTGGAGGAGCGCTGAGCTGTCCCGTGGTGGCGGAGGCTGTCAGGACCAAGGCAGGTCTTTGTGGGCTTCAGGCCTGTTCCCTTCTGCGAGTCGCTATCCCCCTCTAGTGGCGTCCGGCCCCTGCAGCCCAGAGCTGCCGGGACCGGGCAGGAGTCGGCGCCGATCAGCTACCTGGCATAGCCCGAGCGTTCAGACCTGAGCCGCTCCATGGGCTCCCCGTGCCCGCCAGCTGGCAGAGCCAGCTCTTGTTGCCCAGGGGCCAACCCCCACTGGAGCCTCTGAACTGTTTGGACAATGGCTGGTGGCCTTTAGAAGTCGCTGCCCTTTCCTCCGGGCATCCCTCGGGCGTGTGCGGCGGGGGCTGACGGCAGCACCGCAGGTGCCACGTGCCTCTCACGGGCACCGCCCGCTCCCTGCCGGCCAGTGCCCCTCCGCTTCTCGTGCCAGGAACAGGGATGTTGCTCTCCTGGTCAGCACTGCCCATGGCCAGGCACTGCTTGCACCCACGGCAAATGTGCGCGGGCTCTGCTGCTGGTCCCCACGCGTCCTTCATTGTAGCTCTTCCTGCCCCGCCATCGTGCTCTTCCTCCGGACAGAAGGCCAAGGCCAGGCCTCCCACAGCCCAGCCTGGAGCTGAAGGAGCTGCTCTGCACAGAGGAAGCTGAAATCCCGTCCTGAGGCCTGGACGTCGCTGCCCAGGGACATCCCAAGGAGACGCGGGTACGTGGCAGTGGGACAGAGCACGACCCCATCCGCGCTGGCCTGTGCCATCCAGGAAAGGGCACTCACTCCAGAGCAAGACGAGATCAGCAAGACTGTCAGCCCCTGCTCTGACGCTGCCCGGCGCCAGCAGAGGATCCCATCCGGGGAGCCCCGCTCCAAGCCCCAGACGGGCACTCGGCTACAGCGGCTTGCAGACAGGGAGAGGACGGCACTTTGAAGTGACCCCTCACTGCCCACGGTTTGCCCCTCGCTTCCCGTTCGGATGTGACTCTGGCTGCTCTCTACGTGCTCACGTCCAGCCCTTGTTCCCAGGAGGAGACATGGCCTTTGCTTTCCAGCTGTCTCTGGCCCCGAGCATGTCTGCGGGCGCTTCCTTCAGCCCTTCGTCCTGTTCTTCTGCCTCCAGTGTCTGCAGCCTTGCCGCTGCCCCCAGTGCCCTGGGAGGGGAGCGGACTCCCATCTCACCTGCTGCCCCCGTGCCGGCCCTTCTCAGAGCATCTGCCCGCTGTGACCCTTCGGATCTGCTTAGGGACCTAGTCCCCTGTGCAGCGGGCACATCCTGGGCACGTGCCTTGTGCGCATGCTGGTGTGACTGGGCCCTGCTGTCTGAGCTGCCTCATCCGCGCCACTCACTGGTTTGCCAGTCTGTCCACAGCCAGGACATGCCTGCTTGTGTCCCGGGCGCTGGGGCCGGCTGCAGGGTGAGGCTGTGTGCTACGAGGGCTCTGGCCACGGCAAGCCAGGCCCCTGCCCACGCGGCGCCACGGTACAGAGCAGCCTCGCACTGCGTGTACGGACAGGGCCGGCTCCGACACGAGGCTACCTATCCTCCTTCCCTGCCTGAGTCCAGCCTCACACGGACCATCGCTATTTGGGGCTGGCATCTTCTCGCCTCTGGGTGAGTTGCTGGCCAGGCTTGCCGGATGGGTCCAGGAGCACCGTGGCCTCTGTGCCAGGGGATGCCGTGACCTGAGCACTGTCCGCAAAGCCCTGCTGCCCTTTACTCCATCCGAACGCTCTCCCGCTGCCGTGCCCAACGCAGCCGTGCTGGGCGCTCGCACCCGAGCTCTTCCGGTCTCCCCTTCTGCGCTGGGGGTGCAGTGGGGTTTTCCACCCCAGGTGTGTCCTTGCTGGGGTGGGACAGTCTCCCTGCCGAGGCCGCCTTGCTTCTCTTGCTCTGCTCACCTTAGTTGAGCCACCTGTTCTCCCACCCGTGGTTCGCCCGAGTGCTCTAGAGCCAACCGCAGGCGGCTCTCGCCTTCCTGCCTTCCTTCCTGCCTGCCTGCCTGCCTTCCGTCCTTCTGTCCTTCCACCGTCTCGAGCTGATCCAGCCTCCTTTGGAAACCTCCAGTGACAGAGTCCCCCCTGCCTTGGGCAGCCTGCGTCCCTGCCTCGCGGCCCTGACAGCAAGGAAGATCCTTCTGAGATCCCACCTGCACCTGCATTGCTCCACCAAGCTGTTGGTCCACATCGTGCTCTCTGCAGCAAGGGAGAAAAAGCGCTTTCCCTCTTCTTTACGGCACCTGCCTGATACCTGGATATTGCTGTCACCCCCCCGCCACCTGTCCCCTCTTCTGCAAGCTGAACGCTCCTGCTTCTCTTGGCCTCTCCTTGTGCAGCCTCTTTCCAAACTGGATCGTGCATGTTGCCTGCCTCGACCTTCTCTAATGTCTCCACGTCCTCTTTAAAATGCGGTGCCCAGAACGGCATGGGACACTCCTGGCGAGGCCCGCAGGCACGATGCCCTGGGCGAGGCCTACCATGCACCGTGGCACTCCTGCCTCGGGTCTTGCAGCTGATGCTCCTGCCGCTGCAGCCTTGAACAGCTTTCCCCTTTCTTGCAGCTGCAGCACGTTGCATGACCCAAGTCGTCATGATCCAGGGCATCGGCTCCAGCAGAAGGACCCGGACCTCTGGTCTCCTAGATCTCAGAGGGTGCCTGTCTGCACAGGCAGGGCCCCGTTGGGGCAAGGACACTGGCCACAGCCTGGTGGCGCAGGCCCAGCCCCCAGCGCATCCCTGCTCCTGGCTTCCCTCGCTCCGAACTGAACAGCCCGATGGCAGCTGCTGCAATGGCACACGGCCCTCGAGAGCCCGCTGAGGAAGCGGGTGAGACCGGAACGGCCATGCACCGGGCAAGGACGCTGCAGCCCCCGCACTGCTGCCCACCCGCCTCCAGCAGCTGCCGATGGAGCCTGGGATGCTGCTCCCTCACCCTGGAGCCAGCTGGCAGCAACTCGTCACCAGGCCTGGCTCTGGACAGCACTGGAGCTGTGGGACGGACCCTCCCGGGGACTCCCCCCTTCTACCGCTCCCCTGGAGAGCAACAGCTTTGGACAAGGAAACCTCAGCTCCCTCCTGTCTCCACGGTATGCAGGCCTTGCTGGCCGGGGTGCAGGATCCCCGCTGAGCGGCAGGGGCTGTCCCGGGAGCCTGTCCTACAGCCGCCCTGCTCTGCACTCCCGTGGTCCGGCTAGGAGCCTTCTTGCCCTGGCTATCGAGACCACCCCGTCCTTGCTCAGGCCTCCCTGCACCAGACCCCCCTTCCCTGTCGTCCTGCCCTTGCTGGAAGTCCCCCCACGGCTCATCCTGTGCAGCGCGGCTGTGCAACTGCGAGTCCGGTGCCTTCCAGGGGCTTTTGGGAATGGAGACTTGCTCCCCTGGAGCTGCCCACCGCCTTCCCTGGCCTGCAGCTGGGCAGAGCCCCTGTCTCGCTCCATCTTGGCTCCACCACCCGCCCCATCGCAGAGCGTTCTGCTCCGGCCTGGAGCCACCGGCCTTCCTGGCCCTGTAGGCTGGGGTTGCCTCGGCTTCTCTGGGAGTTGAGGCCCAGGGTCGGTCCAGGGGGGGTCCCGGCGTGGCCCCACCTCCAGGAACAGGTGGCCGGAGACAGCCCTGCAGTAGGAGCACTGTACATGCGTGTACCACGAGGCCACAGCCGTGCGCGTGGCCTGGGCAGAGGGGCCCTGCACGCAAGGGTCACGCCAATGCCACGCAGCGCTTTCCCGGCAGTCGCTGCCATCGGTGCGGCTCGGTCCACAACTGCGGGGTGGAGGAGGCAGGGCTCGCGGCGCCTGCTGCTTGCCGCCCCGGGTCTCTCTCAAGTGGCGGCTTCCTGTAGGCATCTCGGTAGGGCCCGGCCGGAGCCTCCCTGGTGTGGCGAGAGCATGGCCACCGCGGTGCCCGTCCAGGTGTCTGCCCGCCGTGAGCATGCGCGCAGCTGCCACGTGACGTCTGTACACACACACCTGCACAAGCGCGCAGCCCACGGCCGAGCCCGGCCTTGCAGGGGGCCCCGCGGCGTGGCTGGTGGGGGCTGCGTCTTGTGCCGTGGGCCAGGCCTGCGGCAAAGGAGGAGCCAGGGCCGCGCTGAACAGGGCGCAGCTGCCCGGCCCCCTGCGTGGCCTGGCGGGGCTGGGGCTTGGCCCCCAGCTGAGACCGGCGGTGCGTGTCCCGAGTGCCCGTGGGCCAGCAGTGGGTCAGGCCAGACCCCAGCCTGGCGCCCCTGTGCCCGGAGCTGCTGCTGTCCGTGGTGATGATGAGCAAGCCCCCCCCACCCCCACCCCCCCACTGACCTCTGCCCCGGCCTTGCCGCTGGTCCCAGCCCATCCCGGTGCCGTCTCGCCCTGGGAGAGCTGTCCCCGAGCGCCAGGGAGCAGAGGCCTCCGCTCACCGTTGCTGCGTCCGAAGCTTTGCCCGCAGGCTGCTGCGGCATCGTCCCGGGGGCCAAGGGCCCCCCGGCTAATCCTGGCCTAACGTTTGGGGGCCACGGTGGCTCCCCCAGTGCCAGGCCCAGCCTTCACCGGGCAGGGCGGGACGGAGGCGCCCAGGTAAGTGCGTGCCCGGGGGCCACGCGGCGCCCAGGAGGCTGTGCCGGCCGCCCCACGGGGCCGTCTTTATTGGGTGCGTGTGTGTGTGCCCCGCAGGCGCTCAAGCGGAAGCCCGACCTCTTCCTGTGTAGCAACCTGGACGTCAAGGCCGTGTTCCAGTGCGGTGAGTAGCCCCGGGGGCGGGGGGCACACGGGCTCCAGCCTGCGGGGCAGAGGCCGGGGGTTCGGCTGCAGGAGGGAGGGAGGCCGGGCCCGGGCGAGGTGGCCACAGCTGAGCTGGCGGTTTCTGCCCCGCAGGCGTCCTGTCGCTCAAGTTCCCCGAGGCCCCGACGGCCAGATCCTCCTGCGGGTTTTTCGTGAGTATCAGCGCCCCTCGTCCCACCGCGGGTCATTCGTCCACCCGCCTCGGGTCCCCGCTGACCCCTGGGGTGCTCAGCAAGACCGGGCAGGTCGGTGCCGTGCCGGCACACTGCCAGGAGGAGCAGGGAGACCGCGCCCGTGGGCTGCAGGAGGGGCACGGGCACGGGCTGAGCCCCCAGCATCTCCCCCGCACTGCTCTGTGCCCGCGGCGGGAGGGTCGGGGTCCAGGCAGGCTTGCTGCGGGCGCCCCCCAGCCTGCGCTCCTCTTGCAGACGGAGCTGCTGCCGCGCTG